GACTACAGTGGCCCCAGGTATAATCAGAGAATCATGAATCCGAATAATACTGAATATTTTTTCTTTGCACACCCCCACTTGGTTCACATATGAGTAGACTGAAGAGTCAAGTAGCTGACATGACTAGAAGGTCTTACCACTGTGGAACTTCTAATTCACTCTGCATTATTCATAATCCTTCTAACTGCCTAGGAAACTTCAGTTGGAAACAGATAAAAGAAGAGCTCAGACAACACTTACTCAGTGCTTGGAATCTACCTTTAAACTTGAACTGAGTGCTGGCTGGAGCCTAATTGCTGCCTCCTGTTCCTCACCTGCAATTTATAAATTAGTGTTTTAAAAGGCTATACGAATTCAAGTTTAAGAATGGCTATGAAAGTCTGTTCTGTAAGTTTTTTCAGTTAGTATGTTCTAATGTTTGCAATATTGCTCACTTTGTTCCAAGGTTATTGTTACAATTGTGGAATGCATGTATCGACTATTTGTTATTGTCACTTGAAAATTCAAAATCCCCAATAAGAATTATATTTTTTTAAAAAGAAAAACAGTGGGAAACAACAGGATTCAGGGGCTTCAACCAACATTTAGTTTGGTAGTGTGTCTGAATATTCACACTAGAGGGCAGGCTGTGAATGCGTTCTGAATGCTCATTTTATCTTACCTGTGCCTCCTGACCTGTCCTGGACATTTTATGCCCTTAAGCAAATGAGAACTTTTTAGGGTGACCAGGCCTGACTTGGCAACTAGCAGGAAAGTAGGGGATGGGAACATGGTGGGGCAGCTGTCAGCAATGGTGCATCACTTCCGGGGGAAACCCAGAATTTATGTCATGTGTCTGTAGGAATTCCTGGAACCTCTATGGACAGGAATGATGTCATTTCCAGGTTTTCCCCAGAACTGATGTCAATTCACTCAAGAAATTGCCAAAAACTCTATGGTTTATCAAAAAGTTTCCGGTGATTCCTAGAGAAGTGTGATGGACATTTTAAGCATCAACAGCAGGAGATGAGAGGTGATTCTCACCCCCACCAAGGGACTGGCAACCCTAATATTTCCCTGCCACAATCTGTGTGACGTTTCTTTTCCATCGCTGTTCTCAACCTACATTGTCACCTCATCTACTCCAGATCTGGACAATCTGTGACCACCCAAGTTAAATGTTGCACCTCCACAAAATTACAGCATTAAGTATCCTACTTTGGGCTGCACACTTAAGGCTGCAAGGTCAGAAGGGTTGTAAAGCACCTGATGATTTCCTTCTTCCAACAAGAGGAGCTGCCAGTTAGAAAGACTCTGGGGGACATCCCCATGTCCCAAAAACTCCTGGAAAACAATCTCAGGTCTCTCCAGGATCATCTCACCTGTCATATCCAGTGAACCTCAGGGCAACATGAATTCTTTTGTCACACAGCAGTGTCTGTTTCTATACTACCAACAGGATTCTGAGGTCAAAAAATAGCCTCCATTGATGTTCTCCAGCTTAGTTTTCTACCAAATAATTCTTAAAGATGAATGAAACTGAGCTCTCACACGCACACACTTAAATGCACATCTTCAAAATTCAGTCCCCCATCTGGAAATCCTTTCGGTATTAAAGGAATATTCTCACTCTACCACCAATTGGAGTCCTAGAAAGAATGGCTTTGGAGATTCAATCTAAACCTCTTATGAAAAATGGTTGCTTGTCACTATCTGACTAAATCCTGATTTCATAAATTTCCTTTCATAGTTGAACCAATGCGTTCCTCACAGTTAAACTCAGAATTCCATCTAGTAGCCACATCTTTGCTATAGTTAAAAAAGGGACAAGTGGTATGTGGTCAAGAAAGGAAACAGTTTCTAACATTTAGATACAGAAAAATAAACTAAGCACATGGTCTGCAGAAGTTCCAAACATCTGGATAATCAGTCATTCTGTCAAATTAGAACATTATTCAAATATATGCATCTACAGCACAAGGCCTGGTAATGTATAAATCACTAAAATGCATTATTATGTACGTTAGGAATGTAAACAATACCACCATACTTGGTAACTACACAACGTTCTTTCTCTTTGGCATCCACATGTTAGATGGCTTTTGCAGAATTAATGTTAAACCATTAGCATGCAGCAAAACATATTTGAATCATTTCCATTCTACAGGTGGTGGTGGGGAAACACAGGCACAATTCAAGCTAGAGCTTCTAATGCTAAGCCTTGTGTGTATTGGCTTATCCCACTGCTACTTCTTCTTCCACAGTTGAGGCCCCTCAAAAATCAAAACAACAAAGCCACACTATCAGAATTGGAAAATGCTAGTAGAAGAACAAAGGACTGTGGTTTGATTCCTGTCATAATTTTAAAATAAACCATACTCTCAAAAGAAGTGCAGATATAAGCAATGGCCCCTATAGTGAATTTAGCAGTGCCATCCTTAATATCACTATTCCAGGTGTAGTATTTTGTACAGTTTACTGCATGACAAAAAAAATGCTGTGGGAATAAAATGTCATATGTTGCACTATCAGCTTCATATCTGCAAGCTTCATCAACATAAAACTAATAATTTCCATGATGGCTGCAAGACACTTGCATTGCAGTGCTATGCTAGGGAACCTCAAAGCATTCTGCTGGTGTGAGGAATGGAGGATGTGGTAGGCAGTGACAAAATTTATACTTCAATTGATTTTCAGAGAAGAGAAGAAGGGAGGAAATGGTTCCAGCCAAGATGGCAGCATGAGGGGAGAAAACACATTTGTATGATACTGTCATGACTAACTGTTCAGGAACATTATGCAATGGAAAACAGCAGCAAGTAGAGTCAGACCACAAAAAACGCATGCCATACAGGCTCAAGGAAACAGAAAATCATACACACAGACTGCTGTGCAAAAGCACTTCTGGGAAGAAACAGCACAAGGTTCTTGTCTTTTCCAATGCAAGGGACAGCCCTTAGATCATTGTAAAGACCAGGTAGCTGACATGATAGCCACAGAGACATCTTCCAGTTCAGAACACAGTTTTCATCTTCTCACTCAGGCTCTTAGGTAAATGTTTTTGCTCAATGGGGAAAAATCTGGTAATTTGTTTTTTTTACAAAGACTGGACTTTTTTTTTTTGCTCCCCTACTTCCCAAGCAACACCAGAGCAATGAGACAAAATGAAAATAAATGCCTGTGTTTGTGATCACAAACACAACTGGGCTCCACTAAAGAGAAAAGAGCTCTTCACACAGAGCATATTGTGCATGGGAAAAGAATCTAACATGTTAGCTGTTGCAATCTCACTATCATCTTTATTTTGAGTGACACTGGCTATTCCAATTGCTCTTCATTTGAAGTGGACAGCATCATATGTGCCAACATACTAAAAGAAACCATTAAATGCTACACATCGCTTGTTGTTTTTATGAGGATGCTGATAGGGTGCAAGTGAGACATTTCACTGATGGTCAGGTGCAAACCATTCCACTTAATTTTCTCTTAATAATAATCTTGTGCTATTTCACCACACATGTGACAGATGAAACCCAAAAAAACCCTAAAAAGAATTACCTCAGAAAAATGTTTATTACAAAAAATGCTAAGTTTGTTATGCCTCTGATTTTCATTATCACAGATCACATGACGATGATCGAATTGCTTGTGCTTAAGAAAAAGCAACTGAATAAGCAAATAAGCTTTCAAAAATATACTGTGTTTTGGAAATTTGGGAAGAAATTATGCCTCCATACAAGAAATTACATACAGAAATTAGAATTATTTCTTTTACACCTACATTCATATTAATGTTTCGGTAACATCATTTGCCCTTATGAGAGGTAGTAAACACTGTATGGTTGTGTGCAGTCTAAATGGGTCAAGTCTAATGAGAGAAGCATGACATCCTTACATATAACAAGCGGATTGAACTCAGATCTGAAACCTGGAACATGGAATCAACTGAGACACCAGTTTTTTGTATGTAAATAACAATTTCATCAGGTCCCAAAGCAATTTTCACTTACTGAAAACCATTTTAATATCCATTATGTCTACAAAGCACGCAAGAATTCAACTGTGTTAGCATTAGCACTGCACTGGCTATATAAAATGTCCTCTTTCTTTAATATGTTTAAATAATCCCTGAATGCACACAGCAACACAAAAACCGCTGATGTAACAACACAGGACTGTAGTGGGGAAAAGGGGACTTCAAACAGTGCAAAAATGCAGGATTATCGTCTGTGCAAGTCACTAAGAATGGTGTATCCTTTGAAAGGTATCACACGTTGAAGTGCCAGGTACATAAAATGCTGACTAGAGAATATAGGTAAAATAATATATGAATACTGTTCATCGACAGTGTTTTCTCCAGGAACAAAAGAAGATGTGCTATGCATAACTGAAAAGAAAGGAAACGTCAACCTGCAATCTTTCACCATTTACTACCTTTTTCCCTCTCATTATACACCCTAAAACAAGGCACTTCCAACAGATAGCAAGAGAAAATGGGAAGAGAAAGAAATATAGGCAGCACTACCAGAAATTTACAAAATATACTCCTTGTCTTTGTTTAGACTGGACACCCATTCAGAGGTGTAAATAATGGTCACTTTGTTAGATTTCTAAATGCAACTAGCTACAAATGTGTGTGAGTGGCTCTCTTGTAGTTCACACTGGGCTCCCTTGACCCAGCTAGACAAGCGTGAACATGAAATAAATGAAGGTTAACAAAGACTGGTCTGGGAAACAGTTCACATTAAATGCTTGCAGCAGTGTTAGTGTTTTACATACGGAGCTGTGCTGTGAATTCCTTTAAGCCTGAAATATTCGTGAGCAATTTTGCAAATCTTCACAGCATAGCTTGTTGCAAGAAGCAAAATGACATTTAAGGGAGGAAAAAAGTGGACAGAAAACCCATGTTTCCCATCATTGTGAGGATTTCCAGTGGCATGCAGAGACAGAGAGAGTAAATAGAGAGGTAAAGACCCACTGACAAACAAGCAAACAAACAAACAACTACTTTATCACAATACCTCTTTGTGTCTGTCCCTCTTCCATATTTTCTTCCATGGCTACCTTTCTTCGCTAGAAACAGCTGCACAGGTTTAATCAAAAGCCCCACACAGATGGTGGGAAAACTGTGAATTTATTTCCCCCGGAAAGCTCCGTGAGCACTGTTTTAATGCAGGTCCTCGGATCTTAGCTAAGGCTCCCCTCACTCTCTTTGCTTGCTTGGAGACAGGCTGTCAAGTGTAATTTCATTCAAATTACTCTTCCGTGAAGATTATCAATTTTTCTTCTCAAAGCTGTCCATTGTATACCACTGTAAGCAGGTATTCAAATGAAAAGCCTGCGATTTTGGGGGAGGGGGGAGAAATTTGGTAGGGGTCCCAGTAGCAGTATAACTGTGATTCCTAAGGCTCGCTTTGCATATAAAACAGGGAGAAGAAATTGATGTTTGCATTGAAATCTGTGCTTTAAACTGGAAACAGGCTGCACTGCGAACAGATGGAGGGGTGTCTTCCTAACATGAAGCAGACCACGAACCCATAATTCCCCCTATTTGCTACCAAAGTGGGAGAGCCCATGTGCCTGCAGTTTTACATGCAGCAGTACTGCAATTCTTGTTTCCCTTTTGTACATCATGCTAACATTTCATTTCAATAATTGTGTCCTGCTGTGCTTCTTTATTAAAAGAATTTTGGAGCGGACCAACACAATTCAAATTTGATTCAGCGGGTTTTTTTTGTGTCTATGCACACATTCACATATATATTTACACACAACCCCCCCCCAATCTCTCACCCCCACCAAATCTGCTTTAAAAAAATCTGGGCCAAAAAAGTACACAAATGTGAAATTATTAATTCAATACTGTGCATTAAATCATCATCATCATTTTTATGTAAAGACAGCATATATCTTAAATACTTCAATATATCTTAACTAAAATACTTCAAAACTTTCATCCTGTGTAAAGATGTCATATGATCTGTATGCTACAAGTTCATTGAAACAAAGTGGTCCCACTTCAATATGTTGTAAGAAAAACAGCTGTGGCATGCACTGCTGACAAAAGGCAAAGGTTAAATACCTCATGGGGGCAACTGCTTGTTTGGGGAGCTCTGCAGTCTGATTTGGAATGCAAACTGATTGAATTCTGCAGTTTGGAAATAAAATCTGCATTCACTGTGTCATTGGGTGATACAGAAGCTCCTTGAAATGCCAACACATTGGGGGGGGGGACCCATAATGTTTATTTTATTAGATTTCCAGCAAATATTGATAACTGCCTAGGAAAATATTTTGCAAATATTTCAAGGAGGGGAGGGGCTTGCCCGGGCACCCCGTGGCTGTGGGGAGCCCAGGCAAGCCAAGAGAAGGCATGGGGTGTGGCCTAATATGCTAATGAGTTTCTGCTGTTGGGTGTGGCTAATGGCTTCCTGCTGGGATTTTTCTACAAAAAAAGCCCTGCATACTAAGATGCCAAACCATGGATTAATCCTGGTTTGGAAACCTGGCTTGCAGACAAGAAACCATCCACAGTATGTGATTTGTAGTACTGTTGCTTGTTCTGAACCAGGAAGTCTTCAGTGTCCAAAAGTGGCTTGGGGGGAGGAGGAAGAGTGAGAGCCTGAAGACTTTCAAGGCTCATTTTCGTAACAACAAACCATGGTTTGGCATTATGTCTGAATGTAGCCAGTTCAGGTAGTTTTTGTAGCTTTACACAGCAGTAGCCACCCTTTCTGCCCAAATAGGGTCCACAACGCAGAAAACAAAACAAAACAAAAATTTAAACAATTAAAAATACAGTTAAAATTAGAAAATCTATTAAAAGCACATAAATAAACAACACTAGAAGGGCAACCAATAATTGTTATTGTGGGTATGCCAGGCAATTCAAGAAAGTCTTTACCTGCTTGCAAAAGACACAGGTAGAGGGAAACAGACAAATCACTCTAGGGAGGAAGTTTTGGTGCCATGATGGAGAAGGCCCTTTCCCAAGTTGCCACGTCTAGCCTCAGATGGTGAGGGCAACTGAAACAGGCCTTCGAGGATTACTGGAATGAGCATGGGAGAAGGTGGTCCTTATGGTATGTTGGTTTCAGGCCTTACAGGGCTTTATCATACCAGCACCTTGAATTAAGCCCAGAAGTAAACTGGAAGCCTGTGTAGGTAGAACAAGACTGGAGTGATATGGTCCGTATGGCCCACTCCAGTCAACACTCTGTCTGCAGCATTCTGTACCAACTGCAGCTTCCAGACAGCCTTCAAGGGCCACACCACATACAGCACATCACAGTAATCTAATTTAAATATTACCAGGGTATACACCACAATGGCAAGAGGTTTCTGCCCAGGAAGGGCCACAGCCAGTTCACCAGCTAAAGCTGGCAACTCTAGGTATGATGCATAACTGAAATAATGTACTGACATTAACGTGCAACAAATCAGTATATCTGGTGTTTTAATCTGCTCCCATTGTTGGCTAGGGAAGGGCATGTCCGATAATTAATCACTACGAATCAACCTATTCATTTACTTTATGTTCCACAGAGTTATAAAAAGATGCAATACAGACCATAAATAACTCCCCGAGTGGTACACTGCACAATCATGCACCTTTATGGAGGCTATGAACAAGTGGGATTGGCATAAAGTAGATTTTAGCTTCCTCCTTTGTCAACAAGAGCTAGTAGTACAAACAGCAGCAGCATATTAAAACCAGATAAACTAGTTCAGGAACAGTGGCAGCCACATCAAACCCACATTCTCCAGCCCCTCACCCCACCTCCTATGAGTAGCTTGCAGGTAAATTTCCACATGGCAACAGGACACTCCATGGATTCAAAAGGGTAGGTCTTGGTGGGTCAGGTACCACTCATGAGGGTTTTTTTTGTTACCAACCTTCAATTTCTAGATTATAAGCAACATGACATTGTTTCTACAATGACCTTACATGAGACCTCACAGCAGAACTCAGCATCTAATGAGCTTTCCAGATGGACCCTGAAGATATGCAGATGTTATAGGAAAACAGGTATCAGACACAATCATGTGGGGGGGTTATTGTTTACCCTTTTTACTTTCAACATGTCTTCCTTCCCAAATCTTGGGCCCATTTGAATTTTATGGAATATATCAGGAAGAAAATCTGGCAACCACATGCTCTGCAGGGTAATCTAAGGATTGTGTCATCATCTCTAGGGCCTCAAACCTGTATCCAGGCGGCTGCCTAATTTACTTAACCTTAATGCCAGCCTTGTGTGTCACTAACCCAGAATACAATTTCAGCACTATGGATTACTTCAGAAGAAACATGTGAGAAGCCACAGGAGCAGTAATGGAATTATTCCTTACTATTTGTCCCAGTTTCTGGCAATGGCCATAGAGTCTGGGAGTGTGCAGATGCACACCTCTTCTTTTAGACAGAACTGAGCCATGAGTAAACCAGGTTCACGATTCTATGGCAGCTATTACCCAGCAGAAATAGTATGCCTATAGTGACATACTTGTTTCACCTAGATAGTAGTCATTAATAAACAGTGAAACTAGCTTACACTACTGAATATTCATTATGACTTTAAATAGGCTTCAAAATCTGGGTGATGAATACTTTTGTAACTTTCAAGCCAGTGGTATATGGTCTGCATCTTGCAGTGCACTCACCTTTGTAGTTACCATCAACTTAAAGCAGATACTGCTGCATGGTCCAATAGTCAAGAGTGCTAAAATGGAAACCAAGATCTGGGCTAAAGTCACAATGTTATGTAACTACTGCCTTTCAGCCTGAGTTCCCCCAGCTGTAAAAAATGGTAATGAAATAACAATGGTCTACAAATTAATACAATGCAAAGTGCTTTTGTATTTTTAAAAACACGTTTAAAGAAAGATAAGTGCAGGAGCAGGAAGCGACACTGGTTACCTACCAGTCCTTATACACACAATACACATTGTCTGTACTCATGGAAACTGTCAGTATTTGCTGAACAGACCAAAAGAAGTCAGGGCCATTGTCTGGAGAGATGCTAACCTGCTTATCATGTTTACCTTCAGATCACTATCTTACAGAAAATCAGAAACTTGCTTTTCCAGTTCAGTGCAATTCAGCACAACCTTGGGGAATTGTGAGATTTGAAAGGGCTATTTCAAAGGCTTTTGGAACATAAGAACATCAGAGAAGCCAATGTTGGATCAGGCCAATGGCTCATCCAGTCCAACACTCTGTCACACAGTGGCCAAAAATACCAGGTGCCATCAGGAGGTCCAGCAGTGGGGCCAGGACACTAGAAGCCCTCCCACTGTTGCCCCCCCCCAAGCACCAAGAATACAGTGCATCACTTGCCCCAGACTGAGAGATCCTATCTATACCTTGTGGCTAATAGCCACTGATGGACCTCTGCGCCATATGTTTATCTAATTCCCTCTTGTAGCCATCTACCAACCTCCAATTAATTTGAACAAAGAAAAACACACTCTCTATATATATATATGAAGTCCATTGCAATACTAAACATAAGTTTAATGGAGTTCATGGGACACCCCAGCACTACATCAGTGAAGACTGCTGAACTGGAAGCACAGATAAACTGCAGATTTATTGGGGAATTTTTACAAATGAAGGCAAACACATAACATGTGTCCTAAAGATGAATTGTTAATGTCCTACGGCTTTTCTGTATTAAGAAATGACATATAGTTTAAAAGTATGGACTGAATAATTTGGTTACTAATAAATTTATACAACTGGGGGCTTTTTTAAAAAAAGCCATTTGGGTCAGAGAGAGAGAGGGAAGGAGATCATACATTTCTGCCTCCCAGGTTTCCCCATATATCTCAAGACCAAGAAGCACAGTCCTCAATTTCTTTCTAGTCTGTTTCTTAGAAATTATGGATGGGAAGGGAATGGGAAAGGTATGGTATTTTTCTTCATCCTTTGCAAGAGCTTGTCAGATCCCTAAGTATGCAAATCGTGCAAGTGTAGTAGGGGTTGCAAATTCATGTATGATTAATTATATTCTGCAACAGGTTAGAGTAGAAATTTTGAAAATTTTGACAGTATATTTTGAATGGCCACAGAAAACTAAATCCAAGGCAAACATGGAAAACATATTTTAATGCATGTACTATGTACGGTATTATGCTGCTTAAGAGAATTTGA